AAGCGGACATTTGTCCACATAGGTAGAGATGAATCGTATATATAGTCTAATGCCAGAATGAAAATTTCCAGTTTATTTATTTTTATTATTGAATTTATTCATATAAAAAATCTCGCACTTTCTCGAAGTCTTCACGCGCTAAAAGTCAAAATCGTAAAGTCTCCAATCAACATGTTACATAAAGTTTACGTTCATGTATGTAAAAAAACATATTAGTAAACGTCTCAAGCGATTGTGAATTTGCCTTAAAAAGTAATAAAATTCCCTAATTGAAAGAATAAGATGTACGACTGTTTATATTGCTATCTGTGATCGAAACCTAATTTTTTTGCTTTGTATGTTTGTTTGTTTTTTGAATTTCGCGCAAAGCTACACGAGGGCTATCTGCGCTAGCCGTCCCTAATTTAGCAGTGTAAGACTAGAGAGAAGGCAGCTAGTCATCACCACCCACCGCCAACTCTTGGGCTGCTCTTTTACCAACGAATAATGGGATTGACCGTCACATTATAACGCCCCCACGGCTGAAATGGTGAGCGTGTGTGTTTGGTGGGACGAAGGATTCGAACCCGCAACCCTCAGATTGCGAGTCGAGCGCCCTAACCACTTGGCCATGCATATACATGTTTCAATATTCTGCTTTATTATTGTCGTGTTATAACTAACTACTACTGTCGCGTTACAATATCTAGTTATTACTGCCGTATTGCAGTATTTTTTTTACTACGTTTTCTTTTTCTGTACTTGCAACAATCCGATCTTCTTCTATTTCAGTTACTTTCCTTACGATATTTTGATTTAATAAATCGAAATGGATTGTTCACTAATTACGAGCACGTAACAAGAAATTACCTGTTAAACTAAAATCAACAGATTATAATTTCAACATTACGATAAAATTATTTCAAACTTCCATAACGTCCGTTTTGCAGCAAAAAAAAGAAAAAAACGTAGTGTAGTAATTATCGAACATTTAACTAATCACTAATTTCTTTCATAAATAATTAATTGCAAGATGAAAATAAAATCGTAGATAGCCTCGAAGTGGGTCAAGATCTGGACTTTGTACTTTAGTGTTCAAACAGTTGATATTAATACTTTGAAACTAGATAATCGGTTGGACGAGTTTTGTGGAAGAGAGTTGTTGGACGAGTTTTGTGGTAGAGAGTTATTGGACGAGTTTTGTGGCAGAGAGTTATTGGACGAGTTTTGTGGCAGAGAGTTGTTGGACGAGTTTTGTGGCAGAGAGTTGTTGGACGAGTTTTGTGGCAGGGAGTTGTTGGACGAGTTTTGTGGCAGAGAGTTGTTGGACGAGTTTTGTGGTAGAGAGTTGTTGGACGAGTTTTGTGGCAGAGAGTTATTGGACGAGTTTTGTGGCAGAGAGTTATTGGACGAGTTTTGTGGCAGAGAGTTGTTGGACGAGTTTTATGGCAGAGAGTTATTCTGCTAAACCAAAAGGCTTCCTCAGGAATTTCACCAGTAAATATATCATTAAATGACCTTAAGTGTTCATTAGAACTAACACAACCTGTTCTCATCAATTTTTAACTCAACCCAAAATTATGTAATAGCCCTGAAGAAACCGCAAATGCGAATCGTCGCATAAACAAGGGATATCTGCGCATTGCCGTCCCTAATTCTGAACTGATATATTAAAAGAAAGGCAGTCAACTTTGGCTAACTCTTGTCTAATTGAATTCTACCGTCACTCTGATAGCGCTCTCACGGCCCATATTGCGGTAAGCGTTTTTTCTTCTTCTTCTTGTTATTGGTTTGTTTTTGCGGTAATGAACCTCGGATTCACAGTTCGTGAATGCTAATCACCAGACCAAAATGATGGAAATAAGTTAACAACCGGATCATCAAAATAAACAAAATGATTAGCCTAGCAAACTAAAAAAAAAAATTATTAAATGAACAAAAATTAGAAAAAAATAAAAAAGAATAACGGATTAAATATAATAGTTACTTCTCTTCAAATCAACACTTGCCAAAGCTATGTCAATCGGAAAACCTTGCAATATTTCAAAATTAAAATCCTATTTTATTATTTTATTTTGAGCAACTTATTTTAACATACCCATCAAATATTTGAACAGAGCAGTTGGATACCTATACCTACATCACATTTACACTTCAACGATCTTAGTTGACAATTTTTATTCACTGTAGACATTTTTCTTTCTTGTTTTGTCAGTTCCAGGCTTACACAAAGAGCTGTCTGCTCCTAGCCACCGCCGGGAAACAAACCCCACATTTTTAGCAATAAGAGACAATTAACAAGCAATGGACGAGAACCCAAAAGTGCGTTACGTGAAATATAAGCTCTCATAAACAGTGTAACAAATATTTTATGAGCTCTCGTTTGAAGGTGTTATCATACAGTCCTGGCCAGGTAGTTAGGGCACTTGACTCGCAAGCTGAGGGTCGTGGGTTCGAATCCCCGTCCCACCAAACATGTTCGCTCGCCTTTTCAGTCGTGAGGAGGTTATAATGGGACGGTCAATTCCACTATTCGTTAGTAAAAGAGTAGCCCAAGAGTTGGCGGTGGGTGGTGATGAGTAACTGCCTTCCCTCTAGTCTTTCACTGCTAAAATTAGGGACGGCTAGCGCAGATAGCCCTCGTGTAGCTTTGCGCAAAATTCCAAACAAAGCAAATTATACAATTCTAAAGAATTACAATATGCTAAAAACGCGTCTCTGTATTATAACTTTACAGTTACTTTACCTTTTCAGAAGTTGACCAATACTTAAGACCACTTTAATATATAGACATTAAATAAGATCCTAAAAAAACTACTAAATTCAAGGTGCATAGAACAATGGAACAATTTTTACGCTGTCCTCAGTTTTTAAATAGGCTTAAAAACCTAAGGTATATAGTTACTCGCAA